CACCTACTCACACATGTAAGGATTGATGTTCAATTAACTAATTAAATAACTGTATATCATTCCACCGTGGAGAATTTCACTGAATGCATTCCGGTGTTCTTTGTGAATAATTGATGCAAATCTTAGATATCGAATGGTGTCACAGCCTTTCAAATCAGGAAATTGAGAGATCAATCGTCGCCTTGAGTCAATGAGATCAAACAGATCATATCAAACTATCCACATTCCAGTTTACTACTACAGCACACTGGTTCTTGAACTTTTCAATATGATAACTGATTCATAATGTGAGACAGAATACACAGCGCGTCTGTAGTTCAATGACAGAATGCACACCAACCATGGAAGTAATCCGGGTTCAATTCCCCCAACAAGGCACTCTGAAATCTCCTTTAATCTATCAACTCCTCTCCCAACTCGGAACTCAGAAGAATAGAGAAAAGAAAAAGGGGGATATTTATATTCTTTCAAGTATGACAGTCTGAGGTTGACAGATACCTGTTTGATCGGTTCTTCTAAAAATTAAATTATTCCGAATAAAGCAAGAAGAAGAAGAGTGGTTTGTGCAGAATAATATCGTACCATCATTTAATTCGTCAGCTTCTCATCAGTTACTGCTTACAGACTAATTATGTATTTGTACAGAACAGTTCTAGCATACTTGAAAATTTTTTACATTTGATGTCAGTTGACAGGAGATTCCGAACTTGGTGAACAGTACTCAGAAAATTTCGCTTATTTAGTTCAAACGAATTTCTTTGATTTGAGTTGAACTCAGTATATTCTTACTTAATGTATTAGTCACTCATTATCTTAAACATTTCTCGTTTATATTACGTAACTCCTTTCCATATTATGCATGCATTTAACTTGTGGAAACTTGAACTGCCTGTGTAAAAAATATATAAGTGTTATTTCCTGAGCACTGTTCACTAAGTTCGGAACCTCTTGTCAACTGGCGGAACACGTATAAAATTTGCGAGTGTGTGAAAACTTTTTTTGTTTTTGAAAAGAAAAGGCGTTCAACAAAGAGTTACTCTTTTCGGCGATATCATTCTCAAGCTGTACAAACCGCAAATTTATAGTAATTTCTCTTGGCAACAGAAGGAATATTTCCAAAGATGTGTTAATGCAATAGTTAATTTTTGACAACAAATTACGTAATTTAGAGGGCGTTAATCGGTTAGAAACTAAAATAAAGTTACCAAAGTAGGTTGAGTCACGTAATCGAATTGATAGGGTTCAATGAAAAATGAATGAGAGTCAAGTTAATAATCTGAGTAGAATTCACTTAAAAATAAACGAAAATGGAGTTAGCACCAGTCGTCATGAGGGCGGAGATTTAATAGAGGGTGGGAGTAGAAAATAATGTTATTTGTTCTTGGTTTTAAACCTTTACCTTCTCATCATCGCTGATACCAGAGATCTGGAAGATCTTACCACAACAAGTCGAAACAGAGGAGGACAAAAAAAATGTTAAAATGAATTTATTTCACATTATAACATTCTATCAAGTTAGCTATTTATTTTCATTATAAAAACATCTTATTTCCCATCTGACTGTATTGCACTTTATTGATAACACTAACACTATGATTTCCGAATGTACTTTATCTTATATTACCCATTTCATTCAAATGTCTTATCATCAATTTTTACTCATGTATATAAATGAAGCAAGAAAGTTGTGTGAGTAGTGCCTTGATATAATGATTATTAGCAGTAATAATTTGTCCTCGAAATGTATTCATCAGTGAATCTTACTGTATAACAAACACTGTGTGATTTTATCAAAATAAAATTTCATCCATAATGGAATTATGCTCTACCACAGTGCCCACGTTTTATCCTCATATCGATAATGCGTTGTGATTCGATTGTTCACAGGTCGCATCATCGTAGAGTCGTACGTGTTTAATGCTGAAGTGTTTCAAACAACGGTTGAAATAACGATCCAGCGATTTCTACTGGAGCTTTTATTTGTTATTATACATCGATTTATCATACATACATTTACCGAGGTAAGACAAGATAACCAGCTGTTTCCTTTCGGATGCATAAATTCGAAATAAATGGCGATCGTTTCACCGATTCGTAGTAATCAGGAGCTATCTTTAACCTCTTTAATTACCTTGAAGGATTTTAATGCATCGATTCTATGACTGCTGTCTAACAAGTGGCTAACAATCACACTACTAAGGACTTTTGAACCTACTAGACGCAGGTTTCTTGGAATATACTGATTGTAGGATTGAAGACTAGGTTTGTCAGTATGGACGATATAGACAAGAGTGTAGATGGCACGTTCTATTCAGTCTTTCTTATTACAGTAGGCTTAGATTCACAAATTCTAACTATTTATTTAATCTGTCTCCACTGTCTTTGTGACACTCACTGTGCAAAATGTATTAATCTCTTCCTTTCATGCCTACTAAACTTGTTTTGAAACACTTACCATCAACAAATTACTTCCGAACTGTATCAGCTATTCAACTTACTTAAAGGCTAATCAGTGAACAAAGAATTTTCATTTCAATAATTTCGTCAAGTTCCTTTTCGGGGCTTGTCAGGTGGATATATCGTTCCCCAGTAAGTGATGATTTTTCTACTGAAATTCGAATCTACCACCCACTGCCTCAAATACACCAAAGTGATATTCAATAGGTTAATGAACCATGAGAGCCGCTATTTGTGTAATTTCTCCCTCTTATTCCAAGAATGAATCAGTAAAAATTGTCGACTAGTGGTTGATTTACAATAAACCAAGACAGTTAATTGATTTATTGTACTCGGTGGGAACTAACCATTCTAGAATCGACCTTGTGCACAGAAGCGAATTCGCAAACTAGGAAGATGTGTAGAGTGTGGAACAATGTGACTGTAGAGTTTTTTTGGTAGAGATTAAAAATGGAGACATTGTACACAACTTTTGTTTAAAACGGTTCATTGTAAAATATACATAACTTTGGAGTGCGATCTAAAACAGAGTGTGCTTCTCGACGCTTCGTCTTCTCACTGGTCCATTCTGTCTACCTGCTTCACTGCTAACAGTGTTGTATCCTCAGATTTCGCCGGAACCTCTCACCCTCATCTGAGGACTATTATACAGCCGATGTCCAACTTCTACTAGTAGAGACGTCTCCACCACCAGTGAGCACTTCGGTGGATTATATTAATAATTTGTAGCAGCGGACTTTAACTGTATGACCAAGTAACCATTAATTTGTATAACTCGATGACTGTATTTTTGATAATATACTGTTACACTATCATATATCAAAACAAAACACGTAGATCAGCGAAGAGTCTCTCTTCGGAAGCGAATTCATTTTCTTAGCTGTACAATCGCAAATGTACATATATGTGTTATTTTGTATGTATGTGTACAATAAGTTTGTCAAACAAAAATACAATTGATTATAGTTATTTAAACTAAACAGGTGAAGATTGGTAATTGGAGTTACGTAATACAAAATCAGTCAAGAAAATTAGGTTTTAGTGAAATTAGGGTAGTAACAAAGGTGATGAGTTGTCACAAACAGTTGTTAAAAGAAGTTATGCAATAATAATATGAATATTTTGATGAGTGAGTTTTACTCAGAATGCACATAGGACCAAAGTAGATAATACGAAATTGCGTAAGAGTTCCAAATGAATACAGGAATTATAAGCAATTAAAGGAACAGGCAAAGAAACAAAATTGAGTCATCAAAAATTAACAAAGTTGTTACCATAACAGTAGAAGTGGTTTAGTAATTCTCTTTTACATGCACAGCTCCGGTTTTTCTGTATGAATGGCCAGAGCTTCAGCGATACAAAGAAGGCGAAACCGTATTGCCTTTGATAGGTTGTTCTTGACTCTGTAGATTACTTTGAAGCAGGAGGCGTTTGTTGAAATGGAATGATCAGTGTTAACCAGATGTTCAATTATCGCACTCCTTATTGCACCACTATTGCCTTTTCGCAACCATGCTGGATAGTGTTCTTGAATCCTGTTGGACAGGGTGCGCGTCGAACGACCGATGTACCTGGCTCCACAGCAGCAGGTGAACTGATATATGCACAGAGAAGTAGTCAGATGCGGGATCTTGTCCTTGAGGCTTCTGCAGATCAGTGGGCGACTGGAGAACACTATTCTTAGCGTTGCTGCAAAGAATGTTCTTCTCAGAGATGATATGATCCTTCTCTTGAGAATATCGCTTGCCAAGTCTCCCTTGAAATCCAGGTTCATGTAGAGTTTCCTTTTAGAGGCAAGTAGAGTTCCGTTTCTCCGAATTCTTGGTTTGAATTCGAAATTCGGTTTGAATAACTACAACCAATTGTATTTTTGTTTGATAAACTTATTGTACACATACATACAAAATAACACATATATATTTGCGATTGTACAGCTAAGAAAATGAATTCGCTTCCGAAGAGAGACTCTTCGCTGATCTACGTGTTTTGTTTTCATTCATGCCAGGATGGGGATTATACATGAATTGACACTATCATTTCATTAAAAATATTATTTCGTTAACTTGGAATTTTATTCTGATATTTGTTCCATTACGGAGTTCGCAATAAAGTGGCCTACAAATTGATTGTTTACCTGGTTGCACAGTTAAAGACGAAGATGGAGCGTCGAGCAGCACACTGTTTGCTTGCAAATATCTCCGATCCTCTAACTGATTCTGTGTGCTATGATATCCACCAGAGTCATCTAGATTTATTTCTGAATTACTTACAAAATCAGGATTAATATGTACGGGAGTTTATAGCGAGCTTTGCAACAGAATAAATACTGGAATAATAATCCATGCTATATAGAGATACCGAATTGCAAATAAACATTCCTGCACGAATTCTCTCGTCTTCTACCGCTACACCACTACTGAAACTTCAAGACTCAAGCTGAAAACCCGATATCCCATTAGGAACGCAAATGAGCTAAATAAATAAAAAAAATTACATGTGCCACTGTTTAAAGTGTCCCTATAGCAACACAACAACAAGGAACTACACAAGATATGAAACATGTTATGCTACTGATTCCTGCAACCGAATATTATTTTCAGTGATAAACTACAGAGAGTGTGGCAGTTCTCCTCTAGTGATTTACCATACGCTCAATGTTAACTCCAAGAAGTACTACGCTTAGCGTTTAAAAATCACACTTCATACCTAATTATCCCCTTGGGTATACCACAGATATATGCACGCCTTCAAATGAGATGCAGATTTTCAACAATTTATTTGTAGGAATTTGATTCAATTTCCAAGTGTGATCACGCATTGATACCAGTTAGTGGACCATTGAAAACCAGGGAGTACTGGACAGATGTTTCTTCCTAGTGCACGGGAGTCATCGGTATTATGCACCCACCCGACTGGACGAGACGGCAAACACAAAACACCGATGACATTGTCTGATACCAGAGGCGCTAAAATCACAAATTAGCAGAACTTGATATCCACTGGCCACTGGATCGAGTCCCAGCAGCTGGATAGTCTGCGAGTTTGTCTTGTAAGAAGAAGGCCCAGGGTTTGAACTGTCTCTGGTTGGCATGTACCACCCGCGAGTCCCAAAATAGGACGAAAATCTCTCCAGTACTCACTGGCTCTTTTTCAATCGTCCTTCAACTAATATAAATCACTCATCAAACCGGAAAAATCTAGGTAGATTGTTAAACCCAACTCGTTTTCCCTGTTTTGCACCATTCATGTATTAAATTCTTCAAAAAAGTAATAATCCTTCAAGTATTTGAAGGCTCTACTCTAACTCGAAAGTCATTAATTCACATTCAGTCTTCAACTCCGAGGTATACTCCTTCACTTTCAGACATCAACCACTCACACTACATGAAATTGAAAGTACTTAACAATGAATTTCAAAGTAACAACCTGTTTATCTCGAAAAATAATAAGCAAATTAAAATCTTGTTGAATACAATGTGTAGTAACAATGAGTAATAAGTAAAGTCTGAAGTGACATCTATTTACTTATGATGTATGTATGGGTTAGTCTTATGTACAGTATGAAAATTGTATGTATATGGCTATGTGGAAAAAGAGGTTTTTGGCGCTAATATGAAAAATAAGGTAAAACTTCAATCTAGTCTAAATATGGTCGCCATATCGCTGGCGATGTTCTTGTTGTTGTTGTTGCTGTTGTTGGTTTAACGATGTCATGGTTAGCATCACAAGAAGCAAAATTAATAGGAGTTGTTGTTGTTGTTGTTTGTACAGAATTCGTGGTAATGGTCTTCACCACTGCGCAACTTTTATTTGAAAATGCATTTTTAATTATCAATTTTGGTATCATATTCTCTTTATTTTCTTCATCAATCACCAACTGGGTAGACTGAGGAATGTAATCAGTGGAAGTAGCGGTATTGGTGTTATTATCATTAGTAGTGGTAGTGGTAGTTGTAGCAGCATTTGGTTGGAACAAAGACGATGGAAGTATTTGTGTTATTTTAGACGATGAACTAGAATTCACAACAGAATATTCTTCTTCAGAAAGTCTATTCGTCACCAATTCATATTCTTGTCTTCGGTTGTCTGCTGTCGCTGTTGCAGTTGCTGTTATAGCTACTTTATACAATGATTTCGTGAATTTATGAAGCTTCTTCGTCGATCGTGATGTTGATGATGAAGACATTGAGGCGGGGGATGACGGAATGTCATTCCTGACAGAAGATGAAGATGTGAGTTTATACAAACGACGACGCAGTTTCTTAAAAAGTGCTTGAAGTTCTATGAAGAAATGAAGAAAGACAGAGAAAGGATAATAAGCATCAAGTCATTCTGTATGACATGTTGAAATGGTAAGTATCAGTAATTACGCCTTACATGACAAGTGGGACAGAGAAGGAAACTCATACCCTACATTTCATCGTCAACATCAACCACTACTCAATATACAATAACTAAGAACTCAATACAATACAATACAATACAATATGAGATCATTTGAACTAACAGATTTTTAATCAACAAAATCAAAAGTCTCAGCATCATGTACTATATTCCCAATGGCGACCTCTCCTCACTGGTAAGTTATGCATCATAAATGCATTCCATAGTTATACGCTAAACTAATGTCTTTATGAAATCGGTGTGACGAAGTTCGCAGGAGTCATGATAACGTCTCTGAGTTCATTTCTCAGTACGAGGACATCAGTCCTTTCTGCATGTGCAGGTACACCTCTCTGAAACACCACACATTAATTCAAAGCACACGGTTATCGACACTCATCTTACATGCTGACGGTATTCCAAACATGGCGGAATTAGTTCAGTCAACTCAAACACATCATATCGATTACTCCATTGGTAGCCACCCAACCAGCCAGCCACTCAGTGTATTCGAAAATATTACAATGCAAACCAAGAGGCCCCTTCAAGTAGCTAGTACTCAAGTCAAAACCATCTCCTATCCCTGATAAAAATATTTGCACACCATTGAAACACACT